TTGTTATTATGTGAAATTGACATTTCTTCTGGCACATTTTGATTGGATACCAAAAATAAAACTATAGTGTGGGTGGAAAGTAACTCTGAATGGATCAAGACTTGCATCAGTCTCTGTATGTAATTACAGAGCATAATTGCATGTTAATGAGATTTCTAATAGTAATTAATGCAACATTGGTTAGAAGACTAAGGGGGAGTTTACATGAAAGGTAATTGTTTCAAGTTGCAACTTCCAGTGGTATCTCCTATTTCATTTTCATTTTATATGGAAATGAGCTGGCATGCCTTGTGATGGGGTCTTTCTTTGCATTGCCTGAGTTATTGGGCAATTACTATACACTAGCTGGATATTTTGCAAACAAAGATGATTACCTGGGTTTGCTCGCCTACTATAGTTGAGTGTTTATATGCTTTGTCTGTGCAAATATAATTTGATATAAGCTGTATATATCATATGACATTTTCCTGACAGATTTAATCTTAGAACCAATGATAAAATGATGGACGGTATAAATACTGTATATACTGTAACTGGTGTATACAGGTTATAATTATGAAATTTGCTCACAAAAGTGGGATAGCTTGGAAAATATATTTAATTAAATTATATATTTGTAATGCTAATTATCCCAGTATTATGTTTTGGATAGCCAGCATGCCACCCTGAGGATTACGATTACCATTGATAAGTGTATGGATATATTTGACAAGATAATATAGGGAAAATTAAATATTCATCAATACTACCGTGCAACCTTTCTTAAAGGAGCACTGTATTAATATTAGTTGAAAGGCAGGCAAAAGGGGACAGATAGAAGACATATAATTAAATTATGTCATGTTTATCATTGTACAGTTTGGTATTGGTTTATTTAACAAACAATTTCCAATTAAGATAGCTTCATTAAATTAATTTACACACAGTCTCTATTGATTTAAAACGTGTGTGTACCTAGTTATTTATTTATATAATTTTAAACCCAGTGTTCGTTGTGTGTTAGTTTACTGGTTTCCTCGCCACAAGGCAATATTCTCGGTATTCAGAGTGTGGGCTATTCACCATGCAGTTCATCTGAAAGGCAGCTAGCCTAGGGGCAAATGAAATTGACCAGCTGATGCCAACCACACTGTCCATGTAGAGTAAGATTAGCAGCATAAGACAGAGTTGCATATATTTTTATCCAGTAAAGCACAAAATACCTTTAATCTTTATGCACCATATGTTATTTTACTTTAAATTCTAATGCTAGAAGATTTTACTCATGGAACATTGGAAATTAATAGGGGAAGGTGGTTCATAAACAACATAATAGCACTGTCTTCTGAGTCGAGCAATGCAACTAGTGGAACACACTGTATACACCTTTGTTACACAGTATGTGTGTATTTGCGTTGTCGCGATTTTCTGCCGAAATGTTTTTCAATAGAAAAGTTAAGGCTACAAGAAGCACAGTACTGACTATTTTTTAATAGAGACTTATTGCTACTGCTGCTATTACACTTGTACAAGCAAAATGTTTTTCTTATGTGGAGAAATTATGTTTTTTTTGCGATATAGGTTCAAGTTTTTTACGTGTTTTTCCAAAAATGCAGCTAAATTTTTGTGACTCTGATATAGGAATTGCAACAAAAGAGTTCGCTCAAAACGTAGGAAATCGCATTTCCGAGGTCCTAGATTTCAAAATTTCCCGCGGGAGGATACCCCCGGACCCCCCTACAAATGCGAGGTCTTATGTATGCATCAGTCAGCTCAGGAGCTGGATCCGCCCCTGATTGAAATACTAAGTAGGTACGCATTCACAGTACCAGTGCATAGGAAAAACGCGACATCAATGAAGGATGCGGTCAGTAACGTTTTAGAGCAATTTAATAATCATTTTGGTAAATACCCAAAATTTGCCCAGTTTGATCAAGGCACAGAGTTCTACAACAAAGAAGTAAAGTCATTGCTCAATAAACATAACATTGAATTTTTCTCTACTTACTCAGACAAAAAGGCCGCAGTTGTGGAAAGATTTAACAGAACACTGAAAGCGCTAATGTGGAAGTACTTTTACAGTGCCAGTACATATAAATGGTTAGACGTCCTTCAAGACTTAACTGATAATTACAACAGTTCAGTGAACAGATCAATTAAAACAACACCGGACAGTGTAAATGATTCCAACTGGACTGAAGTATGGAAGACACTTTTTAGTCACAATTTAGGCAAGCCGTCAGAACCAAAGTTTGCTGTCGGAGAAAGTGTCAGGATCTCGAAGTACAAATCAGTGTTCACAAAAGGGTACGAAGCAAATTTTACAGAGGAGTTATTCACTGTGACGGAAGTGTATCACGGCCATCCAAACACGTACACAATAAAAGACAGTGCTGATGAGCCAATAATTGGTAGATTCTATGAACAAGAACTGTACAGCGCTGAAGGAAGAGAACCTGATTTCAGAATAGAGAAAGTATTAAGGAGAAGAACAGTGAAGGGTAAAAAGATGGCTCTCATTAAGTGGTTAGGTTATGATGACAAATTTAACAGTTGGATACCAGCTGGAGACATCAAGTCCCTAACATAAGTTAAGGTATTATGGAGGACTACGACGACCACGATGAATATGAAATGGAGGAGGTGGAAAAGACGTATCCTCAATATGACGACCTTAATTATGATGACCTAACGACAGCTTTTAGTAGGTTAAATACAAGGGTGAAGGGAGAGGCTATGTATGGTGATGACCCTATAGTATTAACTGATCTTAAAAGTGAACTGGACTATGTAAAGGATCTCATGGAGAGACGTGCAATAGAAGAAACAACTTTCACCGAAGGAAATGATGGTACAGTGAACATTTCAGGTCTATCAGGAAGCACAACTGTCCCAGAAGTCAACTTCGTGGAAGACCCAAACAATGTACTTCCAGATGTGCTAGATGCATTCAACGAATCATTTGACGCTGACTGGGATGAAATAGAAGCCCGCCTAGAGAAACTGAAAAAGTTATCAGAAGACCGGCTTACAGCAAATAAAAAGAGAGACTTTGAAAACCAAGTGGAGCGTGTTCAAGCTGTCGCAAGAGTTATCAAGGGTAAGGAAGGACTAGTACTAGACCCAAAGAATAAATATGTCAGGGAACTCATAAAACGATCATCTGTAAGAACACTCAAGGATGGCACGGAGGTGCTGGTATTTAGAAGTGAACAAGGTATTGACAGAAGTGGGACACAAATAATGAAACGTGGTAAGACTAGTAAACCTGTGTACTCCAAGAACTCTATTGCATTAAGAGAATACAAGGACCTTCTAAAGAAAATAAAAGAGGTACCTACGAATCCTGACGATATAATTGGAAGTGATGAATCAATTTATGAGGATACTAAAGAAGAGCCGCAATTTAATACTAGTGATGAGGAATACGCTGACCGTGAGAACATTGAGTTAATAGATATAAGCGCAAAACTAGGAGACCTTCCAGGGCTAACAATGCAAGAAAACAATGAACTGAGAGGTGTTCTTAACCCACCTGATGGATCAAGTATAGAAGGCAGAACAGGCTCCAATGGAGCGTTACAAATCCAGGCTGACTACTTTAATGAAGCTATTAATGAAACCGTGAAACGAGCTGGCTCTGTGGAAGGTGTAACTGAGTATAATGCTCTTATAGAAAGAATTGATAGTCTAAAGGAAGCTAGGGATAGGACACTAAAGCAGAGAGTAGTAGAGGAAGCAAGAGAGGCACAGTTGGAAGATATTTCCAGATTACGTAGATTTATAGACTGGGTAGGAAAGGAAAAAGTGGGACTTGTGGGGATAGCAGTGTCAACAGCTAGTTTAATTACAGCCTTATTAATCCATGCTAGGGGAGCCATTGTGAAGACAGCAAAAGCCACCGGTAAAGTAGCAAAAGCAGTAGCAAATTTAGCAAAGAAAGCAGGACCAATTCTAGTTCCAATCCTGAACGCAGTTGCAACAGCGCTATCATGGGGAGCCAAAGGAATTGCCTGGTTAGCGTCACACTTATGGGTACTAGCTATAGCTGCAGCTTTAATGGTGTACAACTATTACACAAAGTAAATTATCTATGGAGGAACACCAGGAGGAATACGATGACCAGAAAATGGAGGAGTTGAAGGAAAAGTATCCAAACTATGAAGAAATGGATATAGAAGCTTTAGATAGCGAATTACCGTACCTTGACGAGGATCTTAGGGAAAGTGAAACTACAGAGGAGACCCAGGATATTAACGAGGAAATTAATTTCGTACAGGAACTGAGGAGGAGAAAAATGTTAAGGAAAGACCTTACGAGAGAGCAATTAGCTGAGAAATTCCCTGACCTATCTAATCTGTCATACGATGATCTAATGGATAGGGGAGACAGACTTTTAAATGAATTAATATTATCAAATTTAGATGAAGATAGTTACAAAGAAAAGTCGGAAGAACTGAGAT